GTACCAAAGCCTGCACGTGTCAGTGCCCTCAGAGCCGAGCTGACCACCTTGAACCACAAGTTGCCTGCGGAGGTGTGTATGCCCATGTGGTGCTCCTCCTCGGACAATTCTCTGGGCCCGCCGGGCAAAACACAACCTCATCACCGAATCGTGCGGATTCCTCCAGGTGAAAGTGTGGTTCTGAACTCTGCAGAAAAAGCACCGTTCCTCTTGCTTGTAGAGATTCTTCATGACGACCTTGATTTCGATCCAAGCAAGCGAAGCAACAAGGAGGTCCTCAAAAAAATTGTAAAGAAGGAAGAAGAGCGCAAGAGCGCCTCATCGGACTTTTTCCCATTCAAACAGGAGCCTTCATCGCTTCGTCGTACTGTGTCAGGGAATGAACGTTCAGCAGGGCTCGATTCTGGAATGGAGCAGCTGGACAGCCCAACTGCGCCAGATATTGGCACGATCCCCCCGACACCGACTTCAGCCGCTCTTCCTGTTGAGGACGAAGAGGTTGACCTGATCGAGCAGGTTTACGGTGCAGACGGTCCCCGCTTCTCGAAGGCTGTTGACTTGTCTGACTCCATTGTGTTGCCCCCTCGGCCCAGAAACAAGGACCTCGATGTTGCTGCGTGGTCCCGCTCCTCGTCTCTCCCTCCCTCTCCTGCCATCGAGCACTCGGCCTCGTTTGGCTCTGCACCATCATCTGGTCCGCCAGCCACGAAACATGGTCATCAGGATAGCTCCGCATCCATGGGTAGCAACGGGCAGGTGTTGTCTCTCGACGACTACTCCGAACGAATGCGGACTGCCGCCGTTATGCTGGCGCAGCTCAATGCGAATCTCGTTCGTGAACCGGCTACGGGCACAAGTACACCATCCTTAGGAAATGCATCGTTCGATCCCTCTCCTGTTTCCTCCTCGGGTTGGTCGGCCTGGTTCTCTGTAATCGCCCCCCAAGAGTCCTCGGACGGTCAAGACAACAAGGGGCCTGTCCATCCGTCCCTCTCAGGGTATGTCTCTCAGGCTCGCCCTAGCAACGCCGGCTCGTCAGGCGGGATGAGACTGAACCCTGCGGAGGCAGCAGCCATCCGTGATCGTATCATGCAGGAGATGATTGCCCTCGAGGAGGAGCGTATGGACCGGATGCGGGAGAATCAGACGATGCTCAACACGGAGGGAGGCGGGCTGAAGAGTGTTGAGGATGAGAGTATCATTCGACGTGAGTTGAACAGGGCTGATCCGTCAGCGGTTGTGTTCAGTGAATCTTGGTCCGCCAAGAAGGTGAGAGTATTTGACGAAAATGTTGCACTTCCAACGTCATCCTGACGATGATTTATATCTAGAGCCGGATACGTCACGGGTCACCTTATGGTCATCTTGGTAGGTAACATCCGTCCAATTAGGAATTGTCACTCAATACTCCCCGAAACAGCCAACTGGGACTGTGTATCTGTCATTGTGAAGACCGGCGGGGACTTACGGCAAGAGCAACTCGCAGTCCAACTAATTCAACAGTTCCAGCGGATATGGCAAGAAGAGCATTGTCAATGTTGGGTCAGATAGTATGCTCTATCTGTTGCCGAACTTGTGCCGAGCTCATCTTTTGCTTGTGTAGTTTCCGCATACTGGTCACTGGTGGCAGTTCAGGCTTTGTTGAGACAATAACCGATGCCGTTTCGATACACTCGATCAAGAAAGCAGAATATGCACGACGGTTTGCTGAGGGTCGCTTAGGGCATGTTACTCTGCTTGACCATTTCAAAACGGTCTGTCGGACATCACAAACGTCTCCGAGTCTCACCTGACGGATGATTGCAGACGTACGGTGATTCTTCTTCAACCAAGTTCATAAGGGCACAGCGCAATTTCGCTAAGTCCCTCGCTGGTAAGACGAAGTGCAACGTATATTTGATTTGAGCTAGAGTATTACTCCTCCAGGGTACTCTCTGGTCACGTACCTGTTACAAATCAAGGATCGGCATAACGGAAACATCCTTTTGGACAGGGAAGGCCATCTCATCCATATAGACTTCGGTTTCATGCTATCCAATTCTCCGGGTAATATCGGGTTTGAAGCTGCTCCCTTCAAGCTGCCATTGGAGTACGTTGAAGTCCTCGGAGGAGTCGACAGCGAGTACTTCCGCGAGTTCAGGCGGTTCTTTCGCGAAGGTTTCGAGGCTGCCAGCAAGCACTGTGATAGCATCATTAGTACGTGGGCTGTTGAGTGTCGCCACGCCCTGTAAACTCATCATCCCTGTACCTTCTCCAGCTCTGGTGGAGCTTATGCAGAAAGGTGAATTATTCAACAAGCATGATTAGATCGATGCTGACGCAATAGCAGACTCGTCATTGCCATGTTTTGCTGCTCTGGGTGAACAGACCGCAAATCAACTGCGCGAGCGGTTCCAACCCGCACTGACGCACTCGCTGGTACAGGAACACGTTGACCGTCTGATAGACACGTCTCTGGGATCCAATTGGACGCGTCTGTATGATTCGGTATGTTATTTTTATCATGACGGCTTAAAGTGTCAGATTAACCGCGGCGCAGTATCAATACTATGCGCAATCCATCTTATGATGACGACCTTCCTAGTCTTATATGAGCATGTATCGATGATACTGAAAGGCTAAGTATGGCCCGCTCCTGTCGTCATGAGTTGCAGCGTGACTATCATTCTGGGCTAGCAGAGCAATGAACTTCGATTCAAGAGTACACAGGCCACATCCGTTGCTATTATCACGGCAGTAATAATGTCCATGTCGTATAGATAGGCAGGTAATCATACAGAGCAGGCGGGCTAGCCTAGAACAGCTTGTCGTATCTCGCGAGACAAGAGTACCACTCATAGTCTATATATTTGGATTAATGTGATACCAAACCGACCTCAACAAAGCTGCGGTGACTTACCGAAGTTCTGTTTAGGATCGCACCAGCACTTTCCTCGCTTGTGTGCGTCGCCTTGTGGGCAGTGCTGGAAGGGCTCATGCCGGTAGCCGATGTCATTGAAGAAGTGAATCTGGTCTTTACGCGCGAACAGAGCAGCTCCGATGCTATGGACTGGTGCGTCACCCCAGCGCTGATACAAGGCAACTCAACACTGGTTCCGCCGAATGAAAGCATTGTGCCGTACCTCATAGTAGAATCCACCTTTCTCATCGAGGAAGTCGAAGAACTTGGAGTAACCCTCACTTCTCCAAAGATCAAGGTCACCAATTTCGAAGTTACTCCAGACTAGGTGTAACGTTAGAGATAGCTCCTCATGGATAAAGACAACACTCACAGTGGCATCGGTTATATGTCTCGCCACCATCGTCCGAGATGAAAGACATGGCGTTGTCCTTAGCTACCAGATCCGGGTTGGCATTGACGAACTCTGGACGCACGTATTCTCAGCAACTACATTGAGCAACAAATGGTGAAACTGAACCCACCCTTAACGGCGTTCCAAAGAGTTGGGATAGTTGCCTCGTATTCGTATAGCGAGACAGTGAAGCCTGATAAATGTCATGACTCAGCTTGCTGCTTCGTATCGAAAGTTAATCAGGCAGACCGTAGACTTTTTTGCCGTCTTCCATGACAAGGAAAGGGTCATAATCAAGATCACAGAAGAACTTGACATCGGGTCTGATCGTCAAATGTTAATGGCAGCACGCCTTGACACATAGGCATGACACGTACTCCACTCTCCAGTAGTACTTGTAGTCCTTCAGTAGTTCATGTCTGTAGAAGAACTAAAATGGACAAATGAGAACGTCTGTGCGTATATTTGGAATCAATAAAATTCACCCCTGAATTGAAGCGGCACATGTTCCGGTATCTAGGTATTTCGTTAAAACCAGTATACTTGATCAAGTCACATAAAGGACATACGGCACGCTGCCTGTAGGTGTGTCAGCCGAACTTGTGCCAGAGGCAACATTTAGACTGCTCACCTCCGTAGATGACGCTGTTTTTAACCATGTCCTCTCTAGCCACCTTAGCTTTGTCTTCGTCTATTGAATCCGGCTGGTACCAATGCTCGCGGGGTATAAGACCAAACTTGACGTCGGAGTCCGTGAGTGTTGTAATGCGGCTGGGAAGATATCAGGACGAGCCCTTGTAAACAGACTGACCAGACCCTACTCCTTGAATTCAGCACTGAAGTCCGCCTCATTGAGGAAAACGTAAGGATAATTGAACTTCTTGTTGAAGCGATCCTCGAGCTGCTTCATGCTTGAGACTACACCATTGAGATCGCTGTTGCGGGCAAGCATAACGATTACGGCGTTGGCCTTCCGGCCAGGAGCCGTCGTATTGTTGGCGGGCTTGTAGTACTCCTCCGGAACTGGGTTCTTGTAAGGTGGGTTGGGAGTAGAACCCCGGAACTGGTCTGTGAGGCTTGATAACGAAGTTGCCCGCCCGTAGTCTTCATGGGAGAAACTAAGGATAAAGTGTAGTCCGATCTGTACGTACGCGTCAATTCGGACAGCGTAGCCCTAGCACAGGGATTATACTTACTATGATACCCAGTACCAGGACCACGTAACGCATAGGCGTCATCATCTTGTATTAACCCACTCACTCCAGAGCGGAAATATGGACAATATGTCCGTGTCTGCAGCAGACACGCGAGGAAGGAATGAAAGGGTAGAGAGAGAGCTTGATACTTGATATGTCTCTGCTGCGCCGCGCTGGATATTACGACTCAAAGGGAAATGGTATCCCACGTGCCTCATAGCGAATGTCGGAAATTTCCGTACCTCATTATAATTGATTACCAGCGGAACGAAGGTTTAGAATGGATTTAAATGGATTGAAATATCCATTTTAATTACATTTTAATCCATTTTTGACCATTTTTCAATTATAATGGTGTACGGAAAATTCCAACGAAGCTTCCTGATCACCACTGCTCGATGGACATCTGTAAAAAGTTTACAGATCTTAGTAAATGCCCGACGTGCAAACCGTTGCACGCAGTCAGAAACACTACTCCTGAGGCAACTAGAGGTTGATCGAATTGCAAAAATGGACCCTCCGAGAATCGAACTCGGGACCGCTGCATCTCAACAAGATATCCACATAAGTACAACGCTCTACCGATTGAGCTAAGGGTCCCTTTTAGCTCTTTACTTTGTAAAAGTCATTTGGTGTATCTTAGGCAATGACAACAATCCATTTAAATCCACAACATACCAATACAGCCGAAGATGTACAAAGAAAACAATGGGATTTACAGGGGCTTACACGAAACGTCGTCCGGATCTAAACCTCTGGGTCTCTGGGTTCCTCACGTATTCCGTCGGCGGTGACCTCTACGAATCTCGTCCCGACCCTTCGTGCCTGCTCCTCGGAGTGCGTGATCCAGACGATTGCCTGCAGCGTAGAGTCGGGCGCCTTCATGTCCGAAGTCAAACATGTTTCCACAGATTTGGATGATTCCGGGTCCAGAGCAGATGTCGGTTCTAAAAGCGCATTGAGCGAGTCGGCATAACTGCGCAGGCCAAAAACGCACCGTCAAGCAGGAGTATGTCTGCAGCATCCAAGCCAATAGCGACAGCCAGCACCATCCTCTGCGACTCGCCTCCGCTAAGACTGGACCACTCCCTATCCCATAACTCATCATCCAGTCCGAAGGACCTCCCTACTTCGATAGCCTGGTTCAGATCGGGAACTGCAGTCCGTTCGTCCTTCTTTGAGAGCCGACTGTTCTTGGGGTTACGCGAGGAGAATGAGGATATGGTGATGAAGAAGTCCTTCGGAGTTCCCGGGAGCAGTGAAGGTCTCTGTGGTACATATAACACATGCGTACGGTATGCAGGCACCCCTGCGCAGTAGTGCTGAGCGTTACGATTGTGATGCAAAAACAAGCCCCATACCGATGGATTTAGGAGACCTAATTTGAATTTCAAATTCAACAAATTCAAACTTGTCAGTGCCGCCAGCGAGACATGTGTGCTTTGAACACACCTGCCCCTGTACAAAATCTCGCCTTTATACACGTTGAGATGCGCGATGCATTTCAGCAACGTCGACTTTCTGGTTAGTTTATGCGTTGGCTGAATCTAGCACGTACGTATGCAAGCGCATGAGAGAGCGACGACTTACCCAGCACCACTTTTGCCTCTGAGAACGAGTATATCACCTTCATTGACATTGAAGCTCGCGTCAGAGAAAATAAGCGACCCATCGGATCGAGGGCAGGAGATATCTCGTAGTTGCAGCAACGTCTCGCTCATACTGAAGGAGATGGATGGAGGAAGGGGGTGTGTGTCTGCATTCTCACGGCTCATGTAAACACATTATATGTCATAAATTTAAACCGGTAGAGTGGCTGCGAGCCAGTCTCTGCGTAAAATAGCGTCCGAGAGCAGTCTCCCAGCAGTGTAGTGCCACGTCCGTTACGGGTACGAAGGTGGTTGAGGAGGCACAGGCATACCCATCTCCTCTGGTGTTAACGTCGAGCTCTCTATCATCACACCGACACCAATTTTAGCAGCGTTCTATAATGAGAACCCATGTCAACAGAAATTTCGGGGAACACCAGAATGACAGAACGGACTTTGAAGTGGTCGATCTCGCCACCAATGATGAACGCAAAAGTTGGGGCAAACCGCTGCTCCAACAACGCTGAGACCTTCCCAGTCGAATCTAGCTGCGCGCGAAATGTCGACATGCGCAGGTCCCACTTGGCGCCTAACGTAGCCACGGCGTCTCTCCGCGTTGATGCGGCGATAACCTGTAGGTCCGCTGCAACCTCCACCTTTTCGCTAAGTTTCTGCCAATACGTCGCTTGCAGTATACCAGGTTGCTGCAGTAACGCAGTGGCAATCCAACTCTTGTCCGTGCTTGTCAGCTTAGCGACGTAGGACGTTGCAATCTCCGTCATTTCTGGTGTTGGCCTCTGGCACATCGTCTCGAATCCGAGAGCGAGGTTACGTGTAAGAGACTGGAGATAGCTTCCGACATATATGCCACTGAAGTCTGCAGGTGAGGGATTGATAGCTTTCGCATTGATGTTGTAATCGCGACCAGTGTAGTCGTGCTCCAACTGAATCATGTTGTGGCCCGCTTGCGATGAAAGCTATAGAACTCCTTAAACTTGGGAACCGCGGGAGAATATGTACGACACACCTGAGCTTGCATTTTTGTTACGTTGTTAGCACTCCAACCTCGGTTGAACCTGCAGTTCACACTCCCTTCATGATCAACACCACCTTGCATGAAAACCTAAGAGATACCATTCATAAGATTATATTTTGACGAAGGAAACACCCGAGTAACCTGCTCATTTGCAAACACAGCTCCAAAATTGTAGGATGAAGGTGCTGTCTGGGATGCTAAGCTGAACGAATGTGTGACCTGGAAGGCGGGGTTTGCAGACAGCGTCTTCGTGAGGTCGGCTCGAGCGCCGTCAAAGATGAAATTTGTCAAGTGTGTACCTGTATTTTCTGTCAGCGTATGCCCTTGATAGCAATCATGAGTGTTTACTTTTGACCTCTTTTTGAAGGTTCTCTATCGAACCGGGGCTAGGCAGTGCCAGATCTGACCGCCATTGTGAGAAGCGGTTATACGTGCTGGTGAACGGGGACAGGGCGGCATAGAACGGTGACCAAGCAGACGACTTGGTCGAGGAGGAAGACGGAGGAGACTGGACTGGGAACGCGCTCATGGAAATTAGAACGGGAGTATGCTGCTTGCTCGGAGTATCTACGTATTGCTTGCGCAAACAAGTCGACGAAATTTCAGATGCCAAATAGTTGCAAATCTACCAGCCACAGCCGCGTTGTCTGCGCGCCCATAAGCGCCCACTTCAGGTGCTATCGTCTGGCTGGCCGAAAGCGTTTCCGGCGGCTATATCGTGTCTTTGTTAATTGTGGCCTCTTCAGTGACCGGTTTCGCCCCCAAGGACGCACATTTGGTTTACTTTTATGGCGAGATACACATCGTTTGGCATTGTTGCATGCAAATGTTCCCTAAACGTGCCAGATAGACAGTGCTCTCTGTTGGCTCAGCTTAAACTACCCTTCGCATGTCCCTTGGCTTCCTCCTATAACATTAATTCTTAACTCTGGATCCCTTGTCAAGAAGCGTTGCCTATACACTGCTATAGACTGCCCACAGCTGCAGTAGAAATTTCTATGTAACTTCCCCGGTGCCGCCCGTTTATTCGGACTAATAACTGCGCCCATGGCTGCGGAGCGGATTCTGCTACTCACAGTCCGGGCGCCGCCAACTGAAATCCTCTATTCGTGGAATATGCAATGTACATTCGATGGATGCGACGGTCTCAGGTCAGTCGGCAGGTGTCGTAACCCTCAACAACCTACAGCTGATTGTTGTGGAAACAGAGGTCCGTAATCAGCGTGTTCTCCCTCATTCGTCCTGATTGATTACTTCTTGCTCAGCTTCGGAAAGGGACTAAATCTCGTTGTATTCTGGCCCATTTATTAATAGAACTTGATCTTGAGGATACAAGAATAGGAGCGAGATAGTTCCGCAGCGTTCGCCTTACACCTGCTGCGGATCCTCCATAGTCCTGGGTTCACGGTTCCCCAAGGACGGCGGGCATGTGTCAGGTCATAACGATCTAATACGTTCTTCCCCGTCGCACAGCTTTCTGAGTATTTTGCTGCTGCGGGTCCTTTGTCCCGACCTTGCTCTTGACTGCCACCGTCTTTCCTTATTTCTCGTTCATTCTCTATTGCTGTCCTCCTCTGCCTTTTCCCCTGCGTGTCCCTTTTGATCATTCGCAACTCCCGCCACTGCTCAGTAAACTCATGGCGCCGAAGTTTACGGTACCCGCGCTTGCAGGTATGAAACCAAGGCTTTTCATGGTCAATCCAAGACGTTATGTCTGGGTGGTTCTCCTTCTCCTCGTAAGTGCTGTAGGAAATTGTGGGAGGCCTGAAAAATACGAACAATGTCTGCCAGCTCGGCCTTCACTACATCCTACGTATCTCCCATGAATCTTATGCCAGGACAACGTCCCTTTCTAGACTAGTGGAACAGCTGTCATTAAACCGCACAATCCTTACCGATGCCTACTACGACGGCCATCGCAGGGCCAACGCCACCTTTGTTTTCCTTTGCCGGAACAGCGACATCGCCGGGGTCGTCTCCAGCATCCAACAGATGGAAGACAGGTTCAACAGAAAACACCAGTATCCCTGGGTATTACTAAACGACGAGCCGTTTACAGACGACTTCAAGAAGTACGTCTCCCAGAAAACGGACGATGCCAGAGTTTGTGTGCTGACTGACCATTAGACGTGTGAGCGCATTGACCGACGCACCCATACACTTCGGTACCATACCGAAAGAGCATTGGGTCCAGCCGGACTGGATAGACGAGAAGAAGGCAGGAGCTGCTCGCAAGGTCATGGTGTGGCAACGTATCATATATGGCGGTAGGTTTAATATCTTTTGGACTCTGCTGACTACTGATAAGGCTAGGATCTCAGGCAGTGTTCCGTACGTGATATGGAAGCCATATGTGACTCGTGCTAATGAGTCCTATCATATACCTTAGCTATCGGAATATGTGCCGTTTCAATTCTGGGGTGAGTGACTCGTCCACGCAGCAAGTAATGAGCTAAACGGTCTTTGCGTAGTTCTTCTACAGGCATGAGCTCCTGTTACCTTACAAGTATTATTGGAGAGTCGAGTGCGTTACTATTAGCATCCACATCTTTTCCTCTCGATGATATTTTGATAAGGCCCGACGTCAAGTTCTTCTGCGATATCGACTATGATCCATTTTTGTTCATGCAGGACAAGAACAAGACATATGGTAGCCATCAACTTCATGGTGGTGGCTGATTGACTTAATCGTTAGCGTTAGGATTCACTATCACAATGGAGGAATTCCGGGAAACTATAACTACCCTCTGGGACACCACAAAAGGTACGCCACATAGCACTTTCTATTACTTTCTGCCGCTGACGATTACATAGAATTCATGGTGGAGAACCCTCAGTACGTAGCGGAAGATAACGCACTCGGATTCTTATCCAATGACGGAGGGATCTCGTATAATTTATGTCACTGTGAGTGCTTCAGCTAGGAGGTGTTCAGAACTTTGCTGTGATGCTGTGCTACAACGTCCAGACTGGAG